TTCGGTGATGCTATCTAACCATCTCCTCCTCTGCCGTCCCCTTCTCCATTTGCCTTCAATCTTTCCCAGCATCAGGGTCTTTTCCCCTTCCCAGCAAACCTTACTGCATCTTATTTTATTTATATATTTATTCAATTTCAGCTGTGGTGCTGGAAGAGACTATTGAGAATACCCAGGGATAGCCAAGAAAACATACAAATGAATCACAGAACAAATCAACCCAGAGTTCTCACTCAAGACTCAAATGATCAGGTGCACAGTTATCATATTTTAGACACATTATGCAAAACCTAACTCTCCAGAGAAGCCCATAATGCTGGGAAAGGTGGAAGGGAAGAGAAGAAGAGGACATTCGGCTGCAAGGGGGATGGACTCAACTATAATAGTAATGGGTGCGGCACTGGAAGACCGGAAGGGAGCACTTTTGCCCCAGCCTTTTAGATCGTGTAGGGAGGGGCTCTTTGTGGTCCTACAGTTCTGGGATGTCACGGGAGTTGAAGCTAGAAGATGCTGCATCTCCCCACAGCACCAACACTATGGAAGGGGGTCCCCACTGAGATCTGATTGGCCCCCTTCCTGGCAGCTTTTAGGAGGTTATTGAAATCAGAGCTTTTTCTAAAAGCCTTCCAGTAACATCATCTGCACTTCTTGTTCTCTTTTTTCCTGTTTTGGTTTTGTGCTTTGGATTGTATGTTGTTTAAATTCTGTTTCTGTGGTATGAAGCCTCCACTGGCTTTGAAGACAGGTGCTGCCAAAAACTGATAGAAAACCATGAGTGGTGTCATGGAACAACACCCACAGTTCCTACGACAATGGACTTCCAGTGCCCCCATTGTGCTAGACTCTGCGCTTCCAGACTGGGACCACAGAGACATCTCCGTGTTCACAGATGAACGGCACAACCGTGTATCTTCTTCGAACTCGAAGGACTACCATATATATGTATGTTTAAATTCTGTTGTTTTCTTATTGTGGAGAGTTGTGAGAATAAGCACATACACTATATATACATTATAAAAATATAAACAAATTTCATCCTTTTAAGTTGAAATCCAATACGTGCATATACAGAATTAAATTGGAAAATGGTGCAGTCCACAAATAATTCTTTCGCCTGCATTGGAGCTACCTTAAAAAGGTAAAAGTTACAGAAGCACCACAGCAAAATTTCCTAGACAGAGGAATGATGCTGGCACCTGAACCATGAAATGATATTTATGATTAATTTGCAGAATTTGTTTTATCACTGTAAAATTTATGGACTGCAGTATAATGACAGACCCCCAATTTGGATGCAAAACAGTTCAAGATTATTTTCCTACCATTAAAGCCTTTCCTAATCTGATGGTATCTTATTAAACCATTTACATGTTGAGACTGCAACTCTTAGAATTTCCAGTCTGAATGGCTAATGGTTGCCTGAAATTTATTGGAATCCCAACAGATCTGGAAAACAACCAGAATGGGGACAGCTGATTTAAAAATGGCTGGGAACAGCAGTGGGGGCAAAGTGATGAATGCCACAACTTTAAAAAAGACTATTAACTGCTTTACAGTTAGTTACTCCTAATTTTTAAGACTGTGCCTGCCAAGGTGAGAAAATCTTTGGAAGCAAGTAAACTTGTAAAGAAACCAGATGGAAATATTTTATAAAGTCACCAACTAAGGGTCAATAAATGCCCATGTCCTCTTTATTTTATCATTTATTGATAAAAATATTTTTATTTTAAAAAAGGAAAGACTGAGTTGAGTCTGTGGAATTTTTACCTACTCCAATGCAAGAATATTAAGATTTTACATAACTGACATAACTATCTATGAGATTCTGGATGACATTTGTAATCAAAAAGGGAATTTCTTCCATTTTGGGTGGGAGTGTGATAAAGAAGGTCTTTAATTAAACAATAGCAATGATTTAGCAAAGGATTGAATTCTCATCAAATTTAGACTTATTCAAATTATAAAGCAAATAACATTATTTAAATGCTCTGGGTGGCAAAGTTAATCACTGCCCACCAGACGAAATAAATGGATCACCTTTTGCTTGATAAATGGTTTAATAAGATTTGGTTTATTGCCCTGCTTGAGAAGGCCTCTGATAAAATTCACATGCTCTAAAAACAAGATAGGAAACCATTACTTTATTGAGATTGGCAGAATTTTATCTGTTTATAAATGACAAAATGAATTAGCTGCCAGGTTGTATGAAAATATTAATTGGACTGATACGGGATTGTTCAAAGTAGAATAGTTTTTTTTTCAAACTCGGCAACATTAAGACATGTGAATTTCAACTTCCAGAATTCCCCAGCCAGCTACTGTGCACTGTATAATGCATTAACAAATACAACATATAAGAAACCACAATAACTTGGTTTCTTTTCTTTTTTTTCCTCCTTGAGTGTGACAACCCCCAAGGACTGATGGTTTATAATCCTTCTCTGCTATGGCTATGAAATATTGAGTAAACTTCAATATCCCCCAGGTCCCTGATATTGATTACATTACACAAATACAGGCGGAGAGACACCAAGGGGAGACTAGATCAACAGAATGATATACATAGCTACTGTTGTCAACTTTTCACTGAAGGACTCTTGCTATGTTTATGTGTGCTAAAAAAGCTTCATTTGCTTCCTTTAACCTTTCACATGCAGAGTTAAGCCAATCATTTCAGGTACGGGCATGCCGTTTTAGGGTAGACTGCCGTTAAAGGCATGAAAGTACAGCCCGCAAATAGATTATGTGATTTTTTAAAATGTGATTTTATCTGAGTATTGTGAGCCATCCAGAGTCCATGGTAATGTGAAATAAACAAACAAATTTAGGGAGCATTGAGGGTGGTTACAGGGACTCAAGTCAATCCCTTGCTCAGATGCCATCATAACACTATGTTTGTATTAGTAAGGTTTACAAAAACAAAAACAGAATTTTTCAAAATTTAATTTAATGAAATATATTGAATAATGGGATTCCACCCTTGCATTTAATAATGCTCCTCTCCTCTCCTCTCCTTTTTTTTTTTTTAAATACACTTCAGCAGTATTTGGAAGGGCTCTGAAGGCCACACCGGAGGTTTTTTGGTGTGGAGTGCAAGCCACCCTAGGCACGTACGTCCATGCTATGTCACTGGCAGAAAAAGCAAACAGAAAAAAAGAGGTTCACCTTGCGGGTAAGTTGCTGTTGCTCGAGGTTTTTAATCTCCTTGTCCAACTCTTCACTAAGCTGCCGTAGTTCCTTCTCCAATAACTCCTGGCAGAGAAGAAAAAATATGCAGCTTTATGACTGTAGTTGCCAGGCTGTTAGGCTGAGTCAAGGGAGAAGAATGATAAGGCTCCAATGTGTCCACTGCACAGCAATGCCAGGGGCCAGGCTCTGGGCATGCCAGCACGGGTGGTGCCGCGGTATACTCACTGCCATATGAAGGAGTTCCTTAAGCTGAAGTTGCACAATACAACCAACCTGATACCATGCTCACAGAAGTCCCGTTTTGTTCAAAAGGGCAGCCAGTTAAGATGCCTATATGAATACAGCCTCAAGGACATCATTCAAAGATAGTCAGAGAGGTGTCATTTTCCTTTGGAATGTAAAACTGCAAGTCAATTCATAGGTGTGCGTCCACAACTAAATGCTCTCTCTCATACATTGTAAAAGATTCCAACATGTAAAATAAAGGGAGGGAGGGAGGGAGGGAGGG